GAGCACCGTAAACATAAGAGGGGTCTCTCTTATATAAACCCTCACGGTAAAGGGCTGGTTCCGGAAGGATTTATGCCCGGAATCAAAAATGCCATCGGAGAAAAATACACGGGAAGCCGCACACGAAAAAAAACCCCCAAAGTAAATTTGCGCAAATACTTATCAAAGGCCTCACGGAAAAGGGCTGATGGGCCGAGCCAAAAATACTTTCGGGGAGAATGCATCCAAAAGTTTCACATAATAAGATGCAAAAAAGTCTACGCAAAATTCTTAAAGAAAATGCAAAGATTAAAGTCTTGTATGAATATTCTAACAATGAGAAGACTCAAACGATACTTGAGCAAAAGATATTTTTATTTACAAAAACATGACAAAATGGCATAGATACGAGAACTGAAAAAATAAAAGAAAAACTAAACTGCATTGTCTCTAGAACCAAGAGGAATAGAAGTGTCCTCATCCCCGGAAGAAGTAGATGGATCCACCGATGGCTCAATATTTTCACCAGTTTAGCCTTCAACATCATCATCCTCCGATTCTTCTTCAGTTCCCGAAAACTCGGAACCGGAACTAGAAGGACTAGGTGCATCAGAACTCGATGGGAGTCCACTTTTAGCAGCTAACTCAAGTTCTCGGGCCTTAGCAATTTCGGCATCAAAATCAATGACACCAGCTTTGGACTATTCCAAGGTTTTTCTCATCATGTTGTACATGGCATAGGTTTTTTCAACAACGAGGGAAGCCGCTCGGTGCTTGAGTTCTTATTTGAGTTGGGTTACCTCGGCAGAAAGGTTTTCCCGGGCGGACCAAGCAGATTTGAGACTGATATCAAGGTCGCGAACAGTTGAACTAAAGAGCCTATTATGCTCGATAGTTTTCATGTACTTCTCTTCCAACTGGGCGTGTCTCGCTCCCACTGCAGCAAGCTCTTCAATTTTGGAGTTCAAGGCTGCCTCTAAGTTAATCACTCTTTCAGCGGAAGCAACCTCAAGTTATGTTTCAGCAAGAACGATGTTATGGACTTTAACCCATTTGGCCCTGGCTTCGTCAAATTTAACCCTAAGAGGGCCAATCTCTTGGCTAGGGATGGAAAGTGGGTTGGGCCCTATACGGGCCTAACAGGCCAGTCTCGTGGGCCGCGGTCCCGGGACGGTCCCAGTCCTTAAATAAACAGTCTCGGGCTAAACAGTCTTTTTGTAGGAATCGGCCCGGGACCAGGCCCACAAACTCATGGTCCCAGGCTAAACAGGTCGGGCCCGCGGTCCCAACAGACTAAATGGGCCCAACGGCTAAGCAATGATTTTTAAAAAAAATTAAATAGAAATTAGAGATAAAAAGATGTTAAAAAAATATCTAAGGCAATGCCTTGTAAATTTATTATAGAATTGCGACCTAATTTTTTAATTCAAATTTAAAGATAAAAAATTATACAAAGATATTCAAAGTAATGCCTTGTAATTTTATTATAGCAATAAAAATATGGCAATATCTTTCTTAGTCTTCCTCCCCTATGAGATGAGCACAACAAGGTGCTAATACCACCATTGAGAAGAAAAAGGAACTAATCAAGATATGCCAAAATACAAGTTACATAATACATATTAATTTTTGTTCATACAAGTTACATTCCATCTCTTACAAACTTCATAAGTCCGTCAAGGTTCAGACGAAGTTCCGTTGGTGGTGGTGGAAAAGTAGCTTGGTCATCGCCGCTTTCATTGTCGGGCGAAGCAGCATCCTCAGCAAGTTCAGCTAGCATTTCTTCGTAAGTTTCGTCATCCTCTGGTTGTGATTCAGCAAGTCCAAAATTTCTTTTTTTTTTCGAGCGGATCCAATCTTTGAAAAGTACTGATTTTTCCAAGCTCTCCCTCATAGACGCTCTATAATCACTGATTTGAAGTCTTTCTTGACTGAAAGCGCTCTTTGATGCCATTGTTGAAGCTTGAAGTTAAAATGTCTCAGGCCATCCTTGAAAGAACTGAAAAGTATTTTTCTTTGTCCTTCCACCATTGCAAAATATTAAAGGTGTCGTCGGGATTCACTTCCTCAAGTTGCTACGACAAATAAACTTAAAGCTCATTTAGTTGTGAAAAAATCATTACTACTAGAACCAAAAGAACCCCTAAACACCGCCCAAGCACTAAGTCCTCTTACTTTCGCAGTCTTTTTAGAAGATTGAGAATCAGAAGAAGAAAGAGTTGGAACATTTGGTCTAGCATGATTTAATGCAACTTGATAAGCATTATAAATAGTTTGAGCATTTATTCTAATTGAGGTTATTGCTTTCGAAAGTTTAGGAAACTCATCATCTTCAAGTGTTAAACTATTATAAACAGTTTCATACTAAAATTGAGGACTTCCTAATTTCATACGAAGATTTAACAAAAAAGCAACACCATAAATAAGGTGGAAAAAATATTTTTAAAACTTTTTTCTCATAGAATCAATACCAAGTTGATAAATTTCCCCACCCTTAGAAAAATGAGCAAACAAATTTGTAAGTTCTGCAATATAAACTAAACAGTTAGAAATAGTCGGATAATATTGCCCAAAAAATTTATTTGTAGCAATATAAATTTTTTTTAAAAAATCAACAAGCATTTTAACATTAGCACAATCCCCATTCTTCAGGTAATCGTCATCATCACTTACATGTGCATTAAACGTTGAGTTTATGGAGTTTCTATATTCATATGCAACAACCAAACTTTCATACATGTAATTCCATCTAGTTGGACAAGGTTTAGGAATTTTTTTTTCTCTTAGTCTACATTCATCGCATCTTTTAAAATATTCTCTAAGTTTACTTCTACTGTTTGAATGAAAAAGTTAGTTAAGAGCCATTTTAACCTTTTCAATTTGAATATTTAAGATTCTCATACCATCACCTATAATTAAATGGTAAATATAACAAATACATCTAACATGAAAAATATTACTAAATACACGATTTAGCATAGTGGTAAGCAAGTCTATAGCAATTGTGTTATTAGTAGCGTTATCCATTGAAACCGACATTATTTTATCACTATTGCAAAAATATCTGCAAATATCTGTAATTGTGCTAGCAATAAACTGTCATGTGTGACGTGAAGCAATTATTCTATAAGCAATTATGCGCTTTTGCATTATCCAATCCTCATCAATCCAATGACATGTAACAGTAAGGTAATCACAATCGTTGTTACTTCTACCAATATCAGTTGTAATAGCAACACGATAATTTATATGAGTAAATAAATAGCGTAAATATTGTTCATATTCATGCTTATATTTATAAGTATCGCTCTTTACGGTTGTGCAAGAAAAACCTTTATAAGTAGGATTAAAACAATTTCTAATATAATGCACAAACGCATGATCAGAAGGAAAGCTATAGGGTAAGCACATAACGGTTATCATTTTTGCCAATTCTTCCCGATCTTTTTTTGGATCATAATATAAAATACCACCGGTAACAATGTTAATTCCCGGTTGAAATTGATTTAAAACGGTACTAGGGTCAGCCTGACTAGGACTAGGTTCACTTTTCCCCTCGACCAAAGCTTTCAGACCTTGATATATAGCGTTATCTTTAGGGTATTTTTTATGTGTCTAGCCAAAGATCCCGTCCCGCGATCCAAAATATTTAAAAGCTAACTCCATACCACAAGTTTTACTCTTAGCCTTATCTTTGGGAACTAGTTGAGTAAAAAATAGTCAAACATGAGATATTTTCTGCCGTTTTGTAGGTTCTCTAGAAAAAGTAGGGGCAGTAACGGGAGTATCAGATGGGTCATCATTTGGATTAGCAGTGTTATCACTAGTTGGGTCAACATCAGGAGTAGGACTAGTAGGTGTATCATCGTCCGGTTGAGTTTCATCAAGATCGATTTTCTCATCATCATTTTAATCAATAGTATTATAATTATTAGAATAGAGAGCATTCATTAATCCATGGTCTAAATGTTCACCGGGTGCAATATTATGGCAAAATTCAGTCTCGATAAATTATAATAAACTATTATCAGTCTCAAGAATAGCAGGTGTAGGGCGGGTATGTGGTTTGGTTCGGGGAGCCGGGGGCAGCGGAGGAGGAACATCAGTACCACTAGATTCGCCAATCTTGGATTTTTCCTTATTCTTATTTTTACCAAAAATATTTCTTAAGGAATACATCTTAATTAATCAAGTAATAGAAAATAAATAAAATAAACAAAACTATAATATTAAGACTTAAGAGTTGGAATGAGTTTACCGAATTGACGAACAACTTGTTGAAAATTGATTATCGTTGAAGAATTGAAGACTTTAATTCACCAACTTCATAATTTTTTCATAAATTGTAACAACCTCAATATTTTTTAACTATTTTTGGAATAAAGTAAGCAATAGTAGCAAGTATAGAAGAAAATTAGAGAGAGATTGTGATAGATTGATAGTGATTTTGTAAGAAAATGAAAGAATGAGGGGTATTTATAGTTGAAAATAGGGAAAAGTGTAATAATAAAAAGTTTGGGGTTAAAACTAAGTTGGGAGGGGGTGTTAAATGGCTATTTTTTAAATATTTATGCTATTATTTTGTAGTTTATTACAAATATTATTTTAGCTATATGACATAATGTCCAAACAATTTGCTCTTTAGTTTTATGTTTTTCACTTCTTTATGCAGAGATGAATCCAGAATTTTAACCTTATAATCAGAATTCTATCACAACTCATTTAATTTAATTTGTTTGAAATTAATTATTTATACTTGTTTAGCAAATTTTTAACGCAATGTACGACCCAAGTAAAAGCTATTGATTTTGGGTACTCAATACTCATACCTATAGATCTACGTTGGTCCCTGTCTTCATTTCTGTATCTTCCCACCCCATTTTTCCTCTTGCATTACTGATTTAAAATAAAATAAAAATTTAAATAAACCTCCCACCCACCCCTTAAACCCCACCCCATATTTCTCTCTCTAAAATCCTATATAAAGGACACCCTTTGTTCTTGCCGCTATATCTCTTCACAGTTCTATCACCAAAACAACTTCACTGCTTCATTTTCTTGTTTCATTTTCTCCTCTTTTATTTCCATTTTTTCATTATTATTCTACTAGAAATTCATCTTTCTGTTTATTTGCAATGTCTCATTAAACTAGAGATCGATTTACATACATTAAATATACTTGTTTTGAGGGTGAGAGTATATATATTTATATATATAAACATACGATCTTTAAGGTATTTATTTCAATGGCAGCCAATATGAATTCTGCAATTTCTAGCCTCCTTTGTGCAGAAGATAACAATATCATTTTTGGCAATGACAATAACGATGATGTTGGAAAATGGTATCTTAAGAATAATCAAAGCAGTAAGCAAAACCATAGTTTTTTTGGGGAAGAGAATTTTTTGGCTGTTATGCAATTACAGAGTGAAGAGTGTGTGGATTTGATGATTGAGAAAGAGAATCAACATATGCCTTGTGGTGATTACCTTGACAAGTTGAGAAATGGGAAGTTGGATATTGAGATTAGAGAGCAGATTCTTGATTTGATTGGCAAGGTTTGTTGGTCTTTTACTAATCCATTATAATTCAGATCTTGGATGATTAATTACTGCGAATTTTTCATTAGTGATTGTTATTTACTTTAGTTAAGTAGATCTCACTTTAAAGTTTAGATCGGTAGTGAATAGTGAATGAAAATTTACATGATGTATTTTCTTGTTTCAAAAGGGGTGGTTGATATCGGAGGCAAAGCTATTTATGGGAGGTAGAAGCAGCAGATTCAGGATCTGGAGTTTATGAGTTTTTTACGACGATCTCAAGTTTATATATATAGTAATAATTGGATCTACAGTCAAATGTTTATAGTAGATATTTAATGAATTTTTTGATACATATATAGGTAAAAGCTACTGGATTCATGTTAACCTATAGCTAACATGGTAGATCCGATCCTAACAGCATGTATCCGATAGAATAATCAAGGAAATCCTTAAAAAATAGTAAAAAAAAAGAATAATTGAGGAGGTTGATATCATGTGAGTATTATATTTTGTATTTTGGTATTGTAATTTGTAGGGGAGATGGGGTTGAAGGGGGTGGGAAAAGGGATATGATGATAGTATAATTCTTGGCTTTTACTTTATACTGCAAAACCACTCACAGTATATTTATTATTTACAAGAAATGTGAAATGAACGTTTGGTAGGATCTTTTTGTTTATTGTTGAATTGTCAGGTAAATTTGGTACGTTAAATATGTTTCTATATACTTCACCTTTTTCCTACTTCATTTAATTCTAAGCTGTCTTTGACTGAATTTTTCACATTTATTCTTAGTTTTGTTTTGCTTGACTGGTAAAACATAGAGTTAGTTTCACATTGTAAAATGCTTGATTAAACATTGTTATTGCATGCAGGTTCATTCACATTTCAATTTTTGGCCACTCTGTTTATATTTATCTGTGAACTACCTCGATAGGTTTCTTTCTGCCTATGATTTACCTGTAAGTTTTTGATTATCAAGATTTTATTTTTAGCTTTATTTAATCACATTCCTAATAATATTTGCTTGTTTTATAGAAGGGAAAAGCATGGATGATTCAGCTATTGGCTATAGCCTGTTTGTCTCTGGCAGCTAAAATGGAAGAGACTATAGTTCCTCTATCTCTAGATCTACAGGTGAACATTTACATCAAAATTAAGTTTGAATAAAAAGGGCAGCCCGGTGCACTAAGCTCCCGTTGTGCGCGGAGTCCGTGGAAGGGCCGTACCATAAGGGTGTATTGTACGAAGCCCTACCCTGAATTCCTACCAGAGATTGTTTTTACGGCTCGAACCCGTGACCTCCTGATCACATGATGATAACAACTTTACCTGTTACGCCAAGACAACCTTGATTATTTTAATCTTATTAATTTGGTACTGATCTAATAATTTGTAATGACAGATAAAGGAAGCAAAATTTGTATTTGAAGCAAGAACCATACAAAGAATGGAGCTTCATGTATTAAGCACATTGAAATGGAGAATGCATGCAATCACTCCATTCACATTCATTGATTATTTCATTAAGAAGATAAATGGTGATCAAACTGCTTCAAGATCTTTAATCACTAAAGCAGTAAAAGTTATATTAAGAACACTTAAAGGTAAAGTTAACCTTGATTGAGATTATCCTATCTACGATTGAATTTCGCAAAATTTGACTATAGAAAGTGAAAACGGAAGATTGTTACTGAAACTTTAGGTGGGTGAAAATTGAATGCAGGAATTCACTTCTTAGAATTCAAGCACTCTGAGATTGCAGCAGCAGTAGCAATCTCTGTTGTGGTGAAAACTGAGACAATGGACATTGAGAAAGCATTATCTGCTTTAGTGAAGCAAGTACAAAAGGTAAAATTTGTTGGTCCAAAAGGCTAAGGCAAATGAAATGTAGTACTATAGATCATTTATTACTTTTCAATCCTATCATTTCATGTTGATTAACTTCACATTTGATCAAAATGGTAAAGTTTTCTCCTTTCTTTTTGTGACTATTTTGCAGGATAGAGTAAAGAAGTGTGTTGAATTGATTCAAGAATCATCTTTGCTAAGTGATTTTGATAAAGGTTTAACCCCTTTTGTTCCTCAAAGTCCAATTGGTGTGTTGGATGCTAAATGCCTAAGTTACAGAAGTGATGATTCAGGAGCTGAGTCATGTGCAAATTCCACACCTAATAGCCCAGATACTAAGAGGAGAAAGATGAATAGAACCTATGCAGTGGACATAAAGGAATGGATAAATGAGTGAAAGCCTTTTACCCCTTTCAAAAGGATTTGATGCAATGAGAGTTATGGTGTGATACTTGAATCTGCATCCCCAAACAGAACTTAAAAAATAATAAAAAATAATAATAATAATAATAATAATAATAATAATAATAATAATAATAATAATAATAAGATAATAATATGGAGAAAAATAAAATTTTGTGAGGAAGAGATTGCAAGTAGTTGGATCGTTTTTGGAGGTCGATAATTTATCATACGCCAAAGAATTTGATGCCACGTTTTTGTAAAAGTGGTGTTCAAGCCAATTTGCGAGCACTTCATGTCAAGAAGGCAACTTTATGCCATTAGTATGAGGGAACTCGGAGAATTTTACTGAGTAAACGTGGGACTTTTTGAGATTTCGTTCAATCTATACTTTTTATATCTTGTTTGAAGAGATAACTATATTTAAAGTCTTATAAATAGAAATATACAAAGAATGTATTATTATACGCAATCCTTGTTTTGTCCTTTACTGTATTGTCCTAAATTTTGTAATAAAAAACAATTTTCGCCGGCCAAATTATATTTATTCTTTCCATCCTTATTTCATTTGTCGGATTAACTCATGACTTCTTAGATTTCGAAATACATGAATTTTTAATCTCCGGTTCATTTTGCCATCCTGACCGATGAATTCTTTTTTTTAATAGAATCGTTTGCATTCACAAGTTCCAACATGGTTTATTTTAGGATTTATAGTAATATTTGGTCATTTACCTATTCTAGTGGCTAGCAAGTATTAAATGAAGAGTAAAATAGCTCCACTGCCATGTACCTTTCGGAATCACATGTGATAAGTTCTTGTTTGACTGATTGTCTGGACAGACTTCAGGTTTAGCCGTTATGCCTAATAGAAATTATCATAAATTATTTCTCTATTAAAAGTTTCAGATTGAGTTCTTAGAATAGATAATCTTTCAATAGGGAGTGTTATAACTCTTACTTTGAGAAATTAGATTAGTTGGAATTCGGACCAATATACAGCAAAGTGTAACAGATTCTGCTCGATTCTCGGAATACTGTTTGATGTTTTTTGTAAAGATTTCTCAACTTTAATTTTGGAATCAATTCCATCGAATCTTTCTCATGGTCTACTAACAACAAGAAAAGGCCCTGGCTTTAAGTTTTTTTTTCGTAGGAAATGACCTTTGCAGGAGTTAAATCATATAAATATTTTTTTGGACTGCAAATAATGATAATTTTTCTTTTTCTAACCAAAGCAAAATAATATCATTTGTGAAATTCAGTCGGTGTACCTGAACATTATTAGTATTAAAATGGAGAAATGAGAGAACACGTATGGCCACTAGAGATATTAAAGCTACCTAAATATGACAATAGATGAAGCAGAGGACAGTATAATATAATTTTCTTTTAACTATAACATACATTGCCCCCTTTATAGATCAAAGTTTTTCTACTATTATTTAATTTATTACTATAATAATCATCTCTCTCTAGGCGGCTAGTTGGGACTATGCTCAACTTGCAATATTTAATTTTGTTTTCATGTTGTTCCTTTTTCTGGATGATGTTTTAACTGTCGAAAAAATTGAGAGCTAAGTTGCATGGTTCTGAGTTCGAAGGATTAAAAGCAATGTGCAATCAATTGCTCTCTATGTCCCAATCTTGTTGCAGTGATTTAATTTGTTTGTGTTTTCACTTCCTTAAATATTGATAATCGCTTGCATAAAATTATACGTATATTACTATACTGATTTACTTGATCGTGCGCTTTTTTGGTCCGATATGGAATAGGTTAGGGAACAATTCGTGAGATTTGTTAGATCAAAACTGACAATGCATATTATTGACTTGCATTGTGACATTTAAACTATTATTAGCTGCCATAATATAAGGATATATATTAGTGGAAGTACAATATTAATATGCACAAATATTGTTCAAGAGAGTCGTTAAATTTTGTCACTGAAATTGAGTGCCTTTGGACCTTAGATAAACCAAGCAGGCAACTTTGAATGTCCCTTCTGTGATCCAATAATACATTTACTGGACCCTCTCTCTTTTCCTTTGAGAAGTTTCTGAATTAATATAATTTGATATAAACACAGTTGGACGTAATTAATATAATTTTATATAAACACAGTGGTACATGAAAATGTGAGTAGCTATCGTCCAATTAATATAATTTTATATAAACACAGTCGTACATGAAAATGTGAATTATAAACATGAATCTGACCTTCATAAATTTTGTATTTTTCTATTCCTATGTTAAACCATTGACAACTCACTACATTATAAGAGCACAAAAGTAGATTGTTAGGTTTTACATTACAACTAATTCGATGTCAGATATTGTCTCTTTATAACGATTTTTAATAACTACTATCTATTACATCACCATAAAAGGTGAACTAGTATAATCACACGAGTGGGGTCTAGGGAAGATAGTGTGTACGCAGATCTTACCCCTACCTTGGGGGTAAAGAGGTTGTTTCCGATAAACCCTCGGCTCCCTCCCTCCAAGATCTCCCCACCTTGTTCTTGGGGTGACTCGAACTCACAACCTCTTGGTTGAAAGTGGATGATGCTCACCACTAGAGCAACACACTCTTGTCGAAATCAGTAAGTGTGGATACCAATTCATTCTATGTATAGTGGTTCTCTATTGAAATATACTTTTTGTTTCCTGTTCACAATTACAACTGGATTGATAATTTTCATGCTTCCTTGTACTCAATTTTAGTATCTTCCCAGGGATAAAGATAATTAGAAGAGGTACTACAAGAATAACATATTTAGTTTGATCTCATAAGTTGGGTCTGGAAATTAAAAGTAGTATATATGCAGATATTACCCCTACCTTGTGTGAGATGGAAAGGTTATTTCCGATGACCCTCGGCTCAAGAAAAGAGTTTTCATAATAATTTTAAAAAATACAAGAATGAAAATATTTTGATAAAAATTAATGCAATATTAATTAAAATTATTTATGTCGAACCAATTCCTATTTAAATAACAATGCATTTATAGTTTGATAAGATTCATATTGTTCGTAACAATTCTTAATCAGATGTATCTTTCGAGTTTTTGACCAATGTTGTCCCTTATCTTTAAGGGTAGGTCTATTTTGGTCCCTCAAATATAACCCTAGGCATATTTATTCCCTTAAGTATGCTAAAGTGAAGCACATTTAGTCTCACTGACACAATATGTTCAAAAACTAATGGTGTTACCCAACTCTAATTCATGAAACAAATCTTCTGCTCTGAAACAAAACGTTTCCTTTCCTTTTATTGGATAACGTAAATTATCACTTTAATTCTTCATTTTTAGATAATGACTTTTTAAAATTTTGACTTTGGAAATATCCCCTTCTGTGTCAGTTTTCAATGAGAAAATGACACTGTATAGCCGCTGCAAAAATAATAGCCGAACAAATGTATAAAATTTGTATATATATACATTTAAATATTTCGGTTGATTTTTTCAAAAAGAAAAGTTAAAATTTAAAAAATAAAATAGAGCTGTCAGGATCACTTCTAGGCATATTATTGAAACAAACGAATAACCAGGTTGTATTATCACTTTTAGCATGTGCCAGAAACTATTTACATCTGGTAACGGAAAAAGTATATAAAATTTGTATAATTTTTATATATTAACATACAAAATATATATATATTCAAAAAATATATAAATTTTATATATTTTTTCGGCTATTATTTTTACAGCAACTATACATTATCATTTTCTCATTGAAAACTGGCACAGAAGGGGATATTTTCAAGGTCAACATTTTAAAAGACATTATCTAAAAATAAGAAATTAAAGTGATAATTTGCGTTATCCAATAAAAGGAGAGAAAACGTTTTGCTTCGTAACAGAAGATTTGCTTCATGAATAAAAGTTGGGTAGCACCTTTAGTTTTTGAACACATTGTGTGAGTGAGACTAAAGGTGCTCCACTTTAACATACTTAAGGAACTAAATATGCTCAGAATTATATTTGAGGGACCAATCAACCCTCAAAGATAAAGGACAATATTGACCAAAAACTCGTATCTTTCAATAAAAAATTGTAACGAATCATTTATTAGAAAGCTTGTCTGTTGAAACGACTCCTATTTCAATAGCAAGGCGTGATTTGTGGCTTTTTATGAAATCCATGTCCTTTCATAACAAATCCTAATAAAAGGTCTTTCATTCGACTCTCTCGACAAAAATTGCAACAATTCATTTGTAGGACTTACGACATTTGGCCATCAAAAGCACAGTTATTTTCTGGTTGATATATGTCATACCTCCTTTTTCCCGAAGGGAGCGGGGATAAAGGAGTTTTTTCAATTAAAGTGACAATATTCGAAATGAGATTATTTATTAAAATCAGAGTCGCCATTTGGAATAAGTTATGGTGTCCCAAGTCACCGGTTTATTTTAAATCCCAAATCGAGAAAATTTGACTCTATTTATGGTCTGCGAACACAGAAGACCGGGTAAGGAATTCTGTTAACCCGGGAGAAGGTGTGAGGCACTCTCGAATTCCGTGATTTTAGTACGGTCGCTCAACTATTAATAATTAGCCTAATTATCCGATTAATACATATTTATAACCTATTGTGCATTTTAGTTTTTTAACCGCTTTTAATTATTTATAAAATTATTTCTGGAACAAGTCACGATGTCGTACACTTGTCGTTTTGGCACACGTCACAAACCGCGCCACATAAAATGCACCCGCGATTTACGACATGCTTATTTTTATTATTGTTTGAAGTTACGATCTAGTCACGTGAAACACACACTCGAATTGAGGATTATATATCACGACCATGCCACGAGAACCGTACCCATAGTCGTGATGATTTATTATTAACCGTGCCTAAAATTACTACGAATGTTTATAAGTTATTTTCCTAAAGCTAATTTAAGATTATTGTAAGGTCACGGATTATGGACATTGAATGAGTTGGAGGCCCCATTATGATTTAGCTATTCGAAACTATTTGTTACGAAGGAAAGGGAATAGTTTTGATTAATACGTTCAAGCCTAGAAGCCCATAAAACGTTAACCAACCAAAGTGACTTAAGCCTAAATCCTTGTCTAATTTATCCAAGACCCAACAGAACATCTTAAAAGAGTGTGGCTCATCCTACTCCCAAACTAAATGAAAATCCCTCATTCTTATTCCCTCTCCAATCTCAGAATAACACAATAGTCGTATCAATACAACTGATCAGACAAGATAACATCAAATGGGTTAGAAAAGAGAATTATTAAGCTATCAAAATATCATGCTCACATTTAGCGTGTAAGTGAACAGCTCACATTTTCAAGCATTTGTTAATCTAGCTTCAAATAAACTAAGTAAATCAAAAGGATAAACAAAGCAATTAAAGGAGAATAACCAGGAAAAAATAATATTTTAACAAATCATAAAAGGAAAATGTCTAACTAATGAGAAACAACAACAATAATTAAGAAATAGAAATTCATAGCATAAGGTGAAGAAAATAAACCTTTGAGCGAAATAAAATTCTTTCAATTGATTAAAATTTACAGCATCTAAAAT